TTCCAATTTCCATTCATCCTTCTTCCAATGCCTTCTGTCTTCTGAACTTTGTCCCTAGGCAAATGCTGCCCTTTTGATCTGGAATGGCTGATTGTTCTAAGGAGTGTTGTTGTCAAGTGCCATCAAGTCGATTCTGACCCATAGCGACCCTGTATAGGGTTTCCAAGGAGCAGCTGGTGAGCTTGAACAGACGATCTTACAGTTCAAACGGCTTTGCAGTCTGGCACATTAACGCACAATGCCACACCAGGACTCCTCTAAGGAGTAAAGAGTGTCTTAATTTCAAAGAAAAGGTATATTTATTTGTGTGCTAATTTCTAGTGAGACCTGGATGGAAGTATATTTGATTATTAAATTTCCCAAACCTGTATCTTGAGGTCAGATAAAAATATATTGCACATGTTACATAGCAGAACAACTACATTCACACATGTATTCATGAAACATTTCTGGAACGATATAAAAGATACGGGCAGCTTTGGTTGCCTCTGAGATGGGGAATCATTAATGAGCAGACTGTCATTACTCTGACGGAATTGCACAGGTGAAATGAGCAAAGGAGCAATGAACCATTTTTTAAGAATATAAAAATGGAAACATCACATACCCAAGAAAATATGTTCCATGCCATCGTTTAAAAAAAAAATAGAAGAATTGCGTGAAAAAGAGAAAACACAAAAGGCTAAAAGCAGGATGGAGAGAAAAGTTTCCTCACAGAGAACACTGACCACATGGAAAGTCAGCAGGAGGCCCGAGTGTCAAGGGAGAAAAGCAACAAGATGCTGTGGCTGCAGAGGTCAACAGTCAGGTTCTGGGTCAGCAGACAGCAGAGAGTGAAAGGTTTCAATGAAGGGAGTGGGGTGACCAGCTTTGTGTGTTTAAAAATCAATGCCTATCCACAGTGAGGCTAGTGGATTTGAAGAGAGCCAGAGTGGAAGCAAGAAGAAAGAAAGGAAGGCAACTATCATAGATTGTTGTTGTTGTTGTTGTTGTTGTTGTTGTTGTTAAGTGCTGTCGAGTTGGTTCCGACCCATAGCAACCTTGTAGAGGGTTGCAGAGGAGCAGCGGGTGAGCTTGAACCACGGACCTTGCAGTTCAAACGGCTTTGCAGTCTGATGCATTAGCCCAGAGCGCCACACCAGGACTCCTATTATAGATTCAGTGACTGATATGAGAGTGAAATGGCCAGGACTTGGTGACTGACAGGGCATAAAGGGGGAGAGGAATGTCGAAGACAAAGACCAGGACCTGGCCTACACTAATGGTGGATGGAAACAGAAATACAGGGTTCGACGCTGGTTTTGTGGGGAAGAAATGTCAGCTTCCAGTGGCAGGGACAATTCAAGTGAAGACATCTAACAGATGGAGATTTGTGGACATCAGTAAGTAGAGTGAGAAGCAGGTCCCAAATCACCAATGTATAAGGAAGGGGGAAGCAGAGGAGAAATTGAAAAAGAAGCTGAAGAAAAGACAGTCATTGATGTCAAATAAGTAGAGGGCCAAGGAAAACGAGGGCAGCTCTCAATGGGATGGCTTGACACAATGCCAACAGGAATGGACTCAAGCATACGAATGATCATGAAGATGGCGCCAGACCTAGCAACATTTCATTCGGTCACACATGAGGCTGATGGCAACTTTCAGCAACGACAAGTCACAGACACAGGAGGAAAACCAGGCAAGTGTGGCACACTGAACACCAAGGGGCAAGAGCATCTCCAGGAAAAGGTGGTCAGTGTCAAAAACCATGAAGAGGTCAAATCAGAAAAATGCAGCACAACGCAGTTTTTGGAAACCCTGGCCGAAATATAACCAAGATACAATTCTAAATCCTATGCCATCAAAATTTCAAAGGACTAAATGTTCTACATATTGAGGACAGCTGGTAAAAAGCGGAGGGCTCTAACAACCAGAAATGTCTTCTCTCACAGTTCGGGAAGCTGAAGTGTGAATTCAGAGCGCTAGCTGTGGAGAAAGGGCCTGGTCTCCTTACAGCATCTGCAGGCCCAGCATTCCTTGGAGAGCTCCATGTGTCTTGACATCAGTCATTCCCTGAAACTAGAAGCAGTGTCACAGTGCGGGAACTCTGGGCCCAGGGCCGCACTCCATTGCAGGCTTGTCTTCCTTGGTGGTAGCAAGTCCCTCTTTCTTGGCTGTTAGCTCTTGTAAGATAAAAAGGTGTTGCATGACATACCCTTGGGAATCTCCCATCATCGGACAGAGTCCTGGTGGGGTTAAGGATGGAATATCTCACCCTTAATCCTCTTATTGATTTATCACATCATGGCGGGCCATCACATTACTATCAAACTACTTAGAATCATGGTCCAACCAAGCTGACACATATTTGGGGGGGGGGGAGGGGAGGCACAATTCAATCCATGACACTTAGTATCTGAAATTTCCAGGGAGAGAGGGCAGTCCAAAAATTTTATGGAAAAATTTGAAATTCCTCAAATATTAAGCAAAAATGACTATCATTCCAATTCTGTGGCATATCGTTCAGCATAAGCACCCTAAAATGCTAAGACAGTATTGACCCAGAGCCCCTAAAAGTCTCCCCCAACACGAGAGGTCATGTCTCTTCTAACCAGGCAGGAGGATCTTGAATGCAATACTACAGAGGACCCTAGGAGAAAGTGAGCTGGTTGCCATCACCTCGTTAACGTGACAATGTGAGGGGAATTCATGACCCAACCCAGCCTATCATTATGCCTGAGAAACAGGAATCCCCTACCACCAGACCCTTTGCTTTGAATCCCCTCCTCTACATGACTAATTCAGGTTGGCATTTTGCTTTCGTTGACCAGCAGAAGGAGGAAACCTAAGACCTAAAGACAGAAAAACATATTAGCCATAGAGACTATAAACTGCTGTCAGGAGAAAAGCCCCTTGCTCTCTTATTAAACAAAAGACAAAGCAAAAACAGGAAGCGGGGAACCCTCCCTCAATGCCAAGCATTAGGAGAACCGACTTTATGCACTGTTTCAATGGACTGCTAAAATCCATTCCAAGTCATTCATAGTACAGAAAAAAAAAAGCAACATGCCCAAAGTCACACAAACTTCTGCTAGGTCGCATAAGAAGCTGTCAGGTTTTCTCTGCACTACACCCCAGCATCTTCTAATGGACAATCGATGCCAAATACCCATGTCCACACCCCAGTATTCTCCCCCCAAAAGCGCCAGACCCCTGTACTCTACCATCTCTTAGACACTTGCTTTTGGCTATCTGAACAGCTCAAAGGTCACCACCGTCCAACAGTAAATTCCTGATGGCTCCCTAACACCAGTTCCTCTTCCAGGCCTCCTTAGCTCAATGGATCACCACCCATTAGGTCCCTGAGTCAGAGATTAAGGACGTGTGTCCAGTTTTGAATTCCACTCTCATTCTTTTCTAAGTGTGACCAAATTAAATTATGTCATTAGACCCCAGGTTTTGTCAACTGAAAAAAAATACAACAGTAATTAGTTACTCCATGAAAAAACTGTATTTTAAAAAGATCCCATATGTATGCAGTGCTAAGAACATAGAAAGAGCCTTGACATCCACAGATCCCTCTGTTAAGTATCATCTGCTTGCCTACTCCCCCATTCTCATCTCCTCACCTGGATAGCTGCTGTAACTCAAATGCTAAGATCCCCAAGAAACCTTCCTTGGTCACTCCCTGCTTGTCAAGGCTAGATCTTACTCTGGCCTGAACTTTTTACCCTCAGATCACAAGGTAAGTTTTATTCATCACTTACCAGAATATTATTATTTACTTTGTGACTAGTTTGATTAATGATCATCTGCTTCAAAAGCCAGAAAGCTCCATGATGGCAGAGACTGGGAATGCTATCCCTTGTTTTTGTGTCCTCAACACAGTGAGTGGCACTTAACAGGTATGTTTATACAAATAATGTGCTCTGTATTTGTTTCCTTTGTTGCCAACCACACAACTTTTACTCAACCCCACACATTATTTTGTAACCATTATACGTGTGGACGTGTTATTTATTCTATGTGTGGACGTCTTACTTACGTGGGCCTGATCTTCATGAAAAACAGAGTACTTACTAATTATTAATTAAGTCAAAGTTGTAGGAAGCATGTTTATCAGCAGGGAAAGGGGCCCAGAGATTAGAACTCATGGGGTGCCTATTTCAGGTGAGAGTTCATGACCATCCCATGCAAGGGGCAAGGGAGAAAGGGGCCAGCGAGCCCAGGCCTACAGCTGAGGAGTTCAACCTCTCTGGGAAGCAGGAGGGATTTCGTCTAGACAGCCCTGAAGGTATTGTACAGGAACCTGCACAGCTACACCCCGGAGATTTGGGGCTTCCACTCCAGCCCCTCCAATAATGTAACCGTCATTCCACAATAGGTGTGGTTCTTGTGTTAAAAGACAACTGTCTACCCCAACCTGGGGGAAAATTGAGCTGTGCAGGACTGAGGAAAGAGGGGCACCCTGGTCCTCCAATGTGCTATCAATAAGGGATTTTCAAAAAACCCAAAAATTTTAACACTGAAGTTTGTTTCTGCATCAACTCTAGCTAGAACTGAGCTTCTCTGAGAGAGAATACAGATGAGCTACTTCTGCCTTCCAGAAGCTTACAACCTAACTGAAGACAAAACACAAGGAGAGCTTATAATATGCATTCATTGAATGAATAATGATAAAGACACGATGGGCTCTTTTGGGAAAACTACAGCTCAGCTCTCCTACAGGGGGTGCCTAAAGATTAGGGAGATAGAGACAGAAGGGCATTTAAGACTTAACAAAAGGACAAGAGCCAGCCACATATATTCTAGAGTTACTGAGAAGGGGTAGACACATATGCAGAAAAGAGTCAGGAAACCATACAAGCAACACAACAAGGAATGTGGTATTTGTAAGGAGGTAGGGAGCAGTTTTACATCTTCCTTATAATAAAGAAAGGACCCATCCCAAAGCCTTGTCGCCAAAGTCTAAAGTGGGTCAACCACTCTCCTACTCACAGAAAGCACACAGTATCACTTACCCGGATAAGGGTTGCCTGAAGACGAGGGGGCTTGGCTCCAGGGCCCCCCGATGACGTTCCTTCAGTCTGGGCAAGAGACTGTCTGGCTTCGTAAGAAGCTGAAAGAACAGGAGAGAAGTCAACGTAATATCCAAAGACCCCACTGGAATATGCCCGCACTCAAACTGAGATAGCAGCTGCATTTGAGGGCGGAACTGGAAAAGAACCGAGGGCCCACAAATCTTGATGTGTTTGGGCTCAAGCTAACTCAACAATCTAAAGACAGGTGATTAATTCATGACAAAACTGCTCAATCTTTACAACACATTAGATTAGGAATAAACTGTGAGGGTGGAATGGTGAGAAGTTGTACTGGGATAGAGAAGTAAGAGCAGTATGTTGGAAGTGTTCCAATTTTAAATGCAAGGTCAATTCCACATACACAGTCATGCTTTCTTCATCATCGTCATCTGTTCCCCCCACCACCACCCCAAAAAAACAAATCTGCTCTTTGAACACTGAGAATCAACATTATGTTTATTTAGGGACAAACCGAATTGTATTCAAATGTGCCACCCTGCCTTCTTTACCTTATGGGAGAGAATATTAAAATAAGTACAGAAAAATATAAAAACAATGGATTCTATATTTACTATTTTTCTGTTCAATAAACTAGTTTAAAAGAAGCTTGATACCTTGCAAAAAAATTAAGCAACCAAAAAGAAAAAGAAACATTTTTTTATTCCTCCTTCCCCCTACCCTCCAGAATTCTTAATAATAACCTTGTAAATATAGTAGGAGCATGTAAGTTACAAGTGATCACATAACAGAAAGGAGAAATTATCACGCAAGTTGCAACCACCTCTGAGCTCTAGGGGTTAACAGTTCACGTTTCTGAAAGTACATCAATAAATAACATGCTTTCCTCACTGTAGAAAGCAGAGTAGCTTTCGATAGGATCACGTTTAATACAGTTTGATCTTTTTTAAATTAAAAAGGTAACAATAGCTCAAAAACAATATACCAATCACTCTTGGGTTCACATCTGCTTTTTTTTTTTTTACTTCTTCCAAGCAAGGGAAACACAACATTTAAACACATTAAAACTTCAAATTCGTTTCCTGGCAAAGCATTAAATGAACTTTTAGAACTTGCTAAGACTGGCTAAATAAGGTAAAAATTGCAAAAGAAGCATTCAAAGAAAGCATATAATCCATATCTTTCAAAGTAAGTCTCCTGAAATGATTCTGTAGGGTACTATAATGGTGGACACATGATAATGAGGCATTTGTCAAAGCCCATAGGACTATGGAACACAAAGAGTGAACCCGCATGTGAGCGAGTCCATAGTAATGTATCCATGTGGTTTCATGCATTGTAACATATGGACAACAGAGACGCAGGATGTCAGTGATGGAAGAAGCAGTGTGCAGGGGAAGTGGAGGCTTATGGGAACTTTCTGTACTTCCTGCACAATTCTTTGGTACACCAAAATCTGCTCTAAGAAATAAAAAGTATTTTAAAAATACGTAAGGAATTTTTTTTAATGTCAAAAAAATAATAATAAGTTTCAGTTCGTCTACAGTCATTTTCTTCTGAGTTGTTCTTGTTGTGAAGTGCCTTTGAGTTGGTTCCAACTCATAGCAACTCTGTATAGGGTTTCCAAGTAGCAGCTGGTGGGTTTGAACTGCCAATCTTGTGGTTAGCAGTCCAATATCTATCTTACAGCACCACACAAAAATGGAATCAATTTTGATGAAATACCAAATTAACCCTTTAATACTAACTGCTCTGTGCTGAAAGTTTCTAAACACAGTTAACTGCAGCGTGATTAGGATGCTATTGTTGTGAGCCTTCCCTGGGAAGCTGCTCCCACATGCCTCTGGTTTCCATAAGAGGGAGGACGTTTTTATTGCCCTGAGGAGGCAGCCAGCTGCCCCAAGGCTCGTCACCTGCAAGGTCCATCCCTGGATTGAAGACAGACCTATGTCATCAGTAAGACTCAAAAGAATGCTCAGCTACATGCTGGACACTAATGGAGACAGCTGACCTTACCAGCCTTGTGGGAAGTCTGGGAAGCATGGGTTGGCCAAGCCTACCTGGGACCGGAAAGGTGAGTTTATGAAGCCTATCTAATCAAAAATCTAGGCCAGGTGCCATATTGGTACTAACGCCATATTCTGGCCATCATCAATCTGAGTTCTGTCTCGTTTCTCAACTGGATCCGAAGTTGGAGATCAAAAGATAAGCATTATTTATTGCTTCTACTTGCTTTTATTCCAAATGAAATGCAAAGCATGTAATGCAATACAAGATAAATAATTCTTAGCTCCCTTTACAAGAGAATGAATAAGGAACTAAATAAGCCCTAAAGATTTTATCATTTTTTAAGTTCACTGTCTACCAGGAACAGAAACCATGGGAAATTGCCATAAAGACTGCATCTGCAGTCAACTCCATGAATGCTATGCCACAGTCACTTTCAAGAATACATCAGAGCTTCTTGGTGACCACGCTCGTCACCAATAAGGGGAAGTGAGGGAAAACCTGGAATGAAGCAGCGAGCTAAGCCCTACAATGTTCAATACACTCCTATGAACCCAGGTGGAGACATGGTTGGCCAGCAGTGTGGCAAGACCTGGGGACTCTTGGGCCCAGAGGCACAGAGGACTAGAGTGGAGAGTGAAGTGTCCAGCTGATAAGAAGAGAGGGCATATGCACAAGAACATCCATGCGTGCAGATAATACCCACTTGACCTGGCTTCAATAACTGGATGATCAGAGCTCCACCTCACAATTGTTGCCACGCTTGAGCCCATCGATGATGCCACTTGGCCAATCCATCTCACTGGGGGTCTTCCTCTTTTTCTCTGACCCTCCAACTTACCAAACATGATGTCCTTCTCCAGCAACAGGTCTCTCCTGACAACATGTCCGAAGTATGAGACATGAAGTCTGGCCATCTTGGCCTCCAAGGAGCACTCTGGCTGCACTTCTTCCAACACAGATCTGTTAGTTCTTTCGGCAGCCCATGGCACTTTCTATGTTCTCCTCCAACACCATAACTCAAAAGCATCAATTCTTCTACGGTCTTCCTTATTCACTGTCCAGCTTTCGCATGCATATGAGGTTATTGAAAATACCATGGCTTGGGTCAGGTGCACCTTAGTCCTCAAGCTGACATCTTTGCTCTTCAACATTTTAAAAAGGTCTTATGTTGTTTCCATGAATGTTGATGGTTGATTCAAGAAGAATGAAGTCCTTGACAACTTCAATCTTTTCTCCATTGATAAGAATGTTGTTTCTTGGTCCAGTGGTGAGGATTTTTGTTTTCTTTACATTGAGATGCAATCCATACCGAAGGCTGTGCTCTTTGATCTTCATCAGTAAATGTTTTAAGTCCTCTTCACTTTCAGCAAGTGAGGTTGTATCATCTACATATTGCAGGTTGTTAATGAGTCTTCCTCCAATCCTGATGTCACGTTTTTCTTCATATACCCCAGCTTCTCAGATTATTTGCTCAGCATACAGGCTGAATAAGTATGGTAAAAGAATACAACCTTGTGGCACACCTTTCTTCATTTGAAACTATTCCGTGTTTAAAACTTAGTCTGCTATAAAACCATAACTCGCACAGGTCCCACTACTTAAGAATCAAGGCATAAATTCAGAAAAGCCCCAGAATGTTTAGGAAGACTCTTAGTAAGTATCACAAAGTCTTAACAGTGTTTTAGGCTTGATACTAGAGATCAACAGGGAGATGGAGCTAGAAATAGCAAAGCAGATGCTGTGTATGTCAGTGGTTGACAGCAAGGTGAAAGCCAGAGAGAAGAGTTAAGAAATGGATGGTAACAAAAAACAAAACAAAATATGGGAGACTTAAGAAAAACTGAGTTCTGAAAACACAGGGAAAGAGAGAAGACATGTGAGCTTCACTAATTTCTTAACTAAACAAGTATGACAGGTTAAAAAAAACAAACAGTTTAAGAGAATACTTTGAGTAAACTCCACAGACATTATAAAAACAGGAATGAATAAGCTTTGAAGTGAACACCATCAATCAGAAGCAAGAACCACAAGGTAGACTAAAGTTGGAGACAGAAGACCCCTCCCCCTTTCTATGATTTAGATCAGGGATCGTAACATCCAGCCCACAGGCCATGTAAGACCCTCAAAATCATTTGGTCTGGCCCTGCCAAGGCAACTACAGTTCCAGCCATCATATTTATTATTACTAAGTGGTGTCAAGTTGGTTCCAAGTCATAGAGATCCTGCATAGGGTTTCCAAGGAGCAGCTGGTGAGTTTGAACTGCCAATCTTGCAGTTCAAACCGACCTTAAGGTTCATTGCTTATCCTACGGTGCCACACCAGGACTCTAGCTACCACATTGGTGGTGATGGTGGTAGTGGTGTGCCGTGGAGTCATAATGACTTGAATAGGGTCTCTGAGGATGTAAATCTTCAAGGGAGCCAAATCTTTTTCCCACGGAACGGCTGGTAGTTTCGAACTGCTGACCTTGAGATTATCAGCCCGACTCATAACCACTACACTACCAGAGCTCCTTCTTAGTCGTCACATTCAGGGTGAGTTAATTAAATGTTTGGCCAAACAGAGCAAGCTAATTGTTAAGTTGATAATTTTGTATGGCACACAAATGATGTAAAAATGTTTTGGCTGAAAAAAGGGCCCCCATCCCAGATTTGGAGTCCTGGTGTGGCACTGTGGGTTAATGTGCCAGACTGCAAAGCCATTTGAACTGCAAGTTCGGCGCTTCAAGCTCACCAGCTGCACCTCGGAAACCCTATACAGGGTCGCTATGGGTCAGAAATGGCTCGACGGCACGTAACAACAACAAATCCCAGATTTAGATAGATGGAGAAGTCTATAACCTTACTTTGTTAATGACATTGTTCCCAGCTACAAGGACGTTGTTGTTGTTGTTAAGTGCCATTGAGTTGGTTCCAACTCACAGGGTTTCTGAGGAGTGAACTTGATCCACCAAACTTGCAGTTCAAACCGGCCTTGCACATTAATCCACAGCGCTCCACCAGGAATGCACAGCCTCCTAATTGATGGGTGGATCCAGAAAACACAACTCCTTGAATAACCAGAGAATTG